GATAATTCAAAATCAGCTATAAAAATATTTTACCATTTCAAAAAGTATGAAATGCAGTTCAGTAGAAGACTTATTGTTTGCCTAACTTACCAGGCTAATGGAGAAGTGAAGAGGAAATTCCCCGTAGCTCTTTGGTAGCGTGAATATACTTACTGTGCTACAATAGTCATTTTAAATCGGATTAAAAACACTAAGAGTATCTTTGACACTAGTTTCCAGAGGTTAGATATTAGGATTTCTTAATAAGAAGTCAAGTGTTCCTAATTCTGTTTACCAGCGTTACCAGAAAAATACAAATATTATGACAGAAAGTTTGCAAATGGCTTTCTGGGATCTCTATTATGTACAAGAATAAGAACTAAAAATGAGAAATTTCAGCTTAACAAAGCCTAATAACATATTACATTACCTTAGTGGAGTTTTTACAGAGTTTTTAATGGGAAAACAGCTATAACGATGGTGGTCATCATTAACCCGAGTGCTCCCCTTGAATTTGATATTGTCCAAATAGCGTTAATATTAGGGTGATTACAAGACTATCTGGAACCTTGAAATCTAATATTAAACATCAAAGGAGCTTAGAAGGTCCTATATTCAGCTATACACTTTCTGTCAGTTTGAATAGTGTAGTCGTCAAGGCAATTCAAAAAATAGTACTGTATATTTTCGGTATTTACGAAAAGAAGTAAATTAACATAGGTAAAACTCGAACTCCTTGCCAGTTATTAACGGACAGAGAACGAACGGAGAATTTAAGTTAATATTTTGTGACATTTAAAAGTCATTAGGTTTGCGCCCAGATGTAGTGTAGCCATCAGTAGAGGGTAAAAAATATGAACGTGAGTAAATTAATAATAGAGGTGAGAATGGAGAATCTAACCTGAGGATTTTTGAACCTAAAATCTCTTAAGTGCTATCAGAGGTATGAGAGCAGTCATCACTTTCCGGTTGCCCACGTCGTGGAACGGTTCTTCCAGAAATACCTGAAAAGGAAATTGGATTAAGGGTGGTCTTAGTAACCTGGGAGCGTGACCCCAGTGCCCAAGGGCCAACTGCTTGAGGCCAGTCTTACACGACCATTTTGTGAGTAATTTTCGTGTTAGTTCCGTACTTGTTGATACCTTATCGCCGGAGACGGATGTCCGTGAGATAAGGCGAGGTGTATATTTTTAGGGTCGACCATTTTTAACCCCATCCCTCCTTGTGGGAAAGCAGCATCGTTCTTATGCTGGTTGTCTGAAGGAAACACCTGACTGCCGTCACACCACCGTACATTCTGAAGTACGACTTCGCCCTCGGACTTTTGGTCTGCTGCTCTTCAAACAAGCTATCTGGCATGGTAAGACCTTGAGGAACGATTGTTCCAGCCAGTGTAGCTGGATTGGTTCACTATGATAGGCAAGTCCGACCATCACATCAAGGTAGCAGCAACGGCCAACATGTTGTAGACAGTACTCAAAAATAATATAAGTGGGATAAGCTATGATAACATCCTAAGATTTTTCAAAGGGAGCCTCCCTCAGAAAACAGAGTTGCGATAAATCAGGATGCGTTGAAACACTCCACTTCAAAATAAAATTTCCGATTCTTGTTTAAGTCTAGTGAGTTAGTAAAAAGTCATGTTTTGCCATCGTTAACACTTACTAACAACATAAAGCTTCAACTGATAAAACGCGACAAAGCCTGGCCTGATGTATTGCATGACCTGAAAATATTAGTTGGTTTGATCAAAGTCGTTACTACTCATATTAGTTTATAGTGTAGGAGTAGGTTGGAAGAAAGCTAGGGGTAACCAGACCAAAACATGGCATAAATCCGTGAAGTCACTGACAAGTGGACTGAGCCTTGTTGGTAGGTGTTGACTACCTAGTTGGGATCCGCGAGACAATAGCAACCGATGGTTAGAGACCTTGAATGAAATGGCTCAAAATCGTTTGCAATGGCGCAGGTACATCCACTTTTCGTGTTCTCCCGAATTCTAATCTTCTGAATTCTTCATGTCCCTTTCTTTTCTCTTTTTTCAAGTTGACTTCGCTGGATTACACTTTTTGAACAGCATCTTCAAACCCTAATGTTTCCGATTACTGCTTATAATCTTACCACTTCTACCACCATGAGATTTGAATCGACAATTGCATCACTGTGCTAATGTACTTACGTACAAAGTTCTACGTTGTTGCTGGGTGACTGATATTACTTAGAATGGTTTTCACAGGTGTAACATAGCCTCAGATTATTGAAACAAATACTTTGAAGCATATTGTTAACCACGGTCTTAAAATCATATCACATTAAAAGGCGATCTTGAAGTTAAAATACTGTCGTAGCGTTAGCTAATCAGATCTATCAAAAGCCTCCGACTTGCTTGGTGCAATAAAAATAACGAATTATTCGTGAGTAATCCTTTTAACGAGATTGCTTAGCACTACAAAGAGCGTGTTGGGACGTTCACAGATACCCAAAGTGCAGATAATCAAATCAAGAACAATGATATTATAATAGGTTGAGTGTAAGCTGTACTGTTTCTTTTTCTCTCACCAAAGTGCTGTAAGTGTTCTTATTTTAAGAAGATGAGTTCATATGAAATTATTGTTTTCATAAACCTAAAAAGAAGCTAAGAGTGGTAACTAAATGAATTTTAGGTGTGGTTTAGCTAGGTCTTCGTCTTTTTAAAGGTTACTTCATGCAACCAAATTATATGGGCAACCCAGACGTACGTTTACTGAAAATTTCAAAATTAAACTGTGAATGTCAATGTAAACAAAATAATAACTCCTCGATAAAAAAACTGTTTACAGTAACTAACAATGTTCCTTCGATCCTACAAAAGAATGCGACATTATTTCACAGATTTTTAATCTGCCTAAAACTTTCAGCTTCTAGCTCTGTACAAATATAGTAAACAGTTTTCGCTGTTGACCGAGTAAAATCTAGTATCCTTCAGCACAAGACCAACCAATATATTACGTAACCTGTAACAGAAGGTTCAGACTCAGATTCATATCCGTGTAGTAAGAACAGAAGGTCCTCGACCTATGTTATTCCTTTTCTAGTATGATTCTGTAGGTGTCTAGTCTTCCCTTGAATGAACGAATTAAAGGCGCTTACACCACTGCTTCGAGTAAAAGGTTCTAAGAATTGGTGACACGGTGTGAAAACCTGTATGACATTGGTGTTTTGTTCATTCTTCGCTTCACTCCTCTGAGTTGTCCCGAACTGGTAGAAATAAAAACAGGAGATATATTAGGTACAAAACCATTTCTTAGTATTTTATGCACCAAAATCAGATTACCCCTTAATCTACGGTGGAACAGAGTAAAGAGGTTTGGCTTTTCAAGCCACTATTTGTATGGTCAACCTCGGAGTTCCGGAATTACACGGGGTGCTGTACTTTTCCCAGGATATCTGGAACACTTCTTAAATAGAGGCTTGCAGCCTGAATGCAGTTTTCAAGTTTAGTTCTCACTAAGGTTGTGTATACCATAGTAAATATAGTAGTTCCTAAATTGATGAATGCCCGTTTTAAACTCCATAAGGTTATAAACCCCTTAGCTGCAACCTCGCAGCAGTGGGCTGCTGTCTTAAGATCATGACTCACTGTCACTTCAAGATCCTTGTGAGAACGGACCACGGGTACAGGCACTTTCCATAGGCTGTGCCTAATTACATTTGGATATCCAAAGTGCATTTAGACGCTTTTTACAGCGTTCATAGGCATCAACCACTCTTTAGACTAGCTAATCAGAGTATCTAAGCCTGCCTATAGTACATATGCATCTTCATCTTGTTATTTCTTGAGCGTATAGTAGCGTTGGGGACTCAACTATATTTGGGGGTTCATTTACACACATTATAAAATCGTAAAGGACACAAAACAGAGCCTTTCCGTACCCCACTAAGCACTGACTTCAAAAGAAACATTTGGAATTTATTTTTAATTTCTGTTCGCGAACTACCAGGAAATCCTTAAGCCAGTGATGCCTATATTTTCCAGCTTCAAGATTAGTCTACTTTTCAGCACCTTATCAAATGCTTTTCTGAGGTCTATGCAAAAAATATCCACTAATTTTTTATTACCTAGAGCCTCTATCCATTTCGTTCTTGCTATAAGGATATTTGTTATGTAAGATAAAAATTTTCTGAAGCCATGTTTTTCGATGTTAAGCAAGTTGTTGGCTTCCACGAATGTCATTTTGGTCATTTTAGTGACTTTTTTAGTATTTTAACTACGGCACTGGTCAGGCTGATAGGTCTGTAGTTTTGCAGAAGTTGTCTTGATCCTGTTTTATTTATTGGATGGAAATTGGCATTCTTCCAGTCCTTGGGTAATTCACCTTGTCCAAATGACAGATTTAATACCGTAGTTAATGAATCAGCAGTATACTTTGCAATTATTCTCAAGATTTTAAGGTGTACTTAATCAGATCCTGTTGACTTTATCGCGTCTAAGGTGCTAAAGGACTTAAGTATATCTTCTCGATCGAAGTTCTTAGTGAGCAGTAAACTCTTTTGAACTTTGCATTTGGCTCTAATTCTTCATCTATTCTGAAACATATAAATACACGTTTACCATCTGAATTATATAGTTAAGAGGTAGACCGCGAAAATGTTCTCCAAGTTTTCTCCACAAGTTATATAACAGCCAAACAATTTTAAGGATTCAAGAACTGGTTTTTCCGGCTGCCAATTATCGGAGCAAAAGATTTAATCCCTTTAATATATAAAACTATTTTTTCCAGGGATTAGGAAAAATGGAAAGTTGATTAAATTAACAACAGCGCAGAAGCTGAAAAACAATTTGAAATTTGAGCGTACACTTCGTGATATGATTGGCCAGCTATTATCAGCTGGTTAATCTCAAGGTTGTTTGTTACTACTACAATTGGTTGAATATAGTGTATAAAATACCTAGTTTGAGGGCGGGCTTACGATATTCGAGTTTTTGAAAACTTCGCGTGGTGCGTGTGCCTAACTTCGGCATCGTCAAAAACACTGAATTAATGAACACGAGTGACCTTTCAAGTGATACTCCAGTTACCCGTCTATCGAAAATTTTGTCGAAGGCTAACTTTCTTGAAGTATCTAAGACGAAAACAGCACCAAAACGTAAGCACTGTTACATGTTGTAATTTATCCAATAACAGTTCATCAAATATCAGAAATAATACCTCCAGACATAGACGAAAGGTTTGTTGAATAATTTATATCCTTATGTTGCATTAGTGCGAATCAAGAGCCACCTACAACGTCAGTATGGTCGGAAGCTCCCGAATTTTTTGTTCGCGAACACTCCAACAGTTGCTCTTCCGGTTATTATAGTGGTGCTACAACTCATTCCGCTCCGGCATCATCAATTTGTGAACGCGTAAGTAAACATATTTTAAGTTTATCTTGAAATTCCAGTTCTATGAAATAAATGCGGATCGTAATCCTCCTATTTCACTAATCCGAAGCGTTTATGAAACTACTGAGTCAGCGGCTCCAGGTGACAGCACGCTCCGGAGAGCTCATTCTTGTTCTAGCAGAGGATGGTTGGCCAAAAGACATAACCGGCAACAATGGCCTCGCATTTCTGGTATATCCCGAGAGAGAGATACATCCTTGGTGGGAGTTGCAAATACAGATACGAATTCATGTCCTGCTGCCATAATCCATGATAATAATCCGTGCAATTTGAGACGCTATTCTCTTCCGCCTGTAGGTGAATCGGGTTCAGGAAGCACCTCAGAAGCCTCACCCCCTAGAGATCATTTAGTTAGCTTTTTAACGTCAGCTAAAAGTCCTAGTCCTGAAAAAAGAATGGAATGTTCAAGTTCTTTGCTTCATCCTATACCTAAAAAGCAACGCATAGAATCACCAAAAGAAACTGATTGTAATTCTACGATACCCACAGAGGAGTTAAATGAAAATTCAGAACATGATAATATTGGATCTTTATTTTCTAATCCAAATGGTGGTCCGAAACCTTTTTTTGAACTCCTGCGTCATCATTCGACTCCTATGCCATCTTCATATTCATACAAACATTGCCCAAGTTCTCCTGTGGAGGTATTCAACGATGAAAATATCAATAAACCTAGACTTTCAAGATGTCTTTCCGAAACGCATTCTGTTTCTTATGATGCGGTACGTCAATTTTTAACGCAGATTTAAGTTTCTGTATTTGTTTCATACTGGGTCGTTTCACGATACGCAGTCATTTCGGTGTTAGGTCTCTTAGTAAGGCTACTATATGTCATTTAGTTTTAAATGTCACTCTTGTAGTTGTGAAAAACTGTCACAGGCACTAACTTTAGAATCATCTTGCCACTAATTTATTGTGCTTTAGACGATTTCTACTTTGTATTTATTCGAAACAAATCTGACTGTTTTTCCCATTTCCTAGACTAAGAGCTCGGTGAATACCGATGTAACTTGTGAGCAATACTATTTAGTCTTGGATTCAAATTTATTTGCACTTTTTTAAGCCAGTTTAGTCATTTGTGATGTTATTTCCAGGCTACTTGTTAGTGGTAATTAAACGGTTTGTTTATGTTCTGGGTCTCTACTAACAATAAGATGTTAAAGAGAAACTAGTCTTAAACTCAACTATAAATATTTATTAGGCAGTCTACCCCTAATGTTAAAAACCAGGTATGGCGTATCAGTATAAGTAATCAAAATACAATAAGGTTTTTCAAGGTATGGTTGTGGTCAGAAGGACCTAAAGTGTTTCAACTTAGTAGATTAGACTAGAGTATTTTTTCTTATTTTCTGGTGCACTGAACAGTTTGCTTCTCATTCATAAATGTCAGGTATAAAATCCTCTAAATCTAAATATTCATGTAAGAAAAAGTTCCGTAAAATGTTGCATAACTTTCGACTGCTTTAGATTTTCAGTAGGCTGTAGTTTTTAGTTACTAGTTAACAGTAACTTGAAGATCCTTATAACCGTCAACTCATTAGTATTAATGATTTAAAGCATCGTCATTTTGACTAATTCCCATTGAGATTTTAGTAAACGTTACCTTGATTTGTATCGTTTTATCCACTCATCTAACATATCTGTTTTGGATTGTAATGCAGTCCTATCCACGATATTGTGTTTCTTGTTAGCCGCTAACAAAAAATCATCATCAAAAATGTGATTTTAAAAAATGCTACTTTTAAAGTACTAGGTTCACTCGTCAATAAAATAACTGATATTTGCTGGAATTCGCTGTCGGTTGAGCTAGTGCAAGTGACTTCCTAGGAGTCCTTTATAAAAGAACTTACCATATTCTGCGGACTGAGCGTTTTTATCTCTATACTTTACTAGTATTTTTGCTTTTTTATCATTAAATATACCTAGGATCCAACCTGGCGGCATCGGCGATCTACTGTTTTTAGGTTTGGAACCTCGTTAAGCGAAAGTTTCTATCCCGTCCAGAACCATTTATATATATAAGTATCTTGTTCCTAGATATACTTCTACTAATAACAATGTTTTTAGCACTGTCATGACGCTTCAGCTCCATTAGTCAGTCAGTCAGTCAGCTACAACATAGGACCAGGCACATATATGCATCGGTCCAAGTTGCCATACCTCATTAACTCAGCTCCATTATAAAATGTAACCTTCAATAAAGTGTTCTTTTTTTCATCGTGACACTAAATGAAAGCGAGTACAACGTTTTCCATTACCTTAACAAATAAGTTAACTTATCCATAAAAAACCCAGGTTGCATTCAATCCCATACAATAAAATTCAATTAGCTTTAATGTCTTATCGTCCTATGCTAGACTTATAAATAATAATTAGTTTAGTTATATAGGTTATTACACCTGTTTTCATTTTTTCTAAAATTTTGTTTATACTTTCTGTAGATTGCACGTTGTATTGGCTCTTTGAGCAGTCACAGCCTATGCAGTGATGGAAGACGAGCGCGTGCATTACCTGTAGTAGATAGGACTGGTTCCGGCCTACATTGCGTGTCTACAGATACGGTCGGTGATCTAATATCTGGCTCCAAGCGTAATATCAATTATGTCATTGTTGATTGCCGCTTCCCTTATGAATATGAGGGAGGACACATTAAAGGAGCAATTAACATTTTTACTCACAGTGATCTAGTTCAAGAGATATTTAATCGTGTCCCTGCGCAAAGACCTCCTGGTACATCTGGACCTCCACGATTTCTTGGAGAAGATCTAGCACGAAGATTAGCCACTACACAGAGGGAGCCACTTTCTGCACCTTGCGAATTAATATCTGACGATGAAGATGAAGATGAATTTCCTGAAAATACAACTTCGGAGATTTCTGATTCGGATCTTGGATATCCAAACGATGAAGTTATTTTAGAAAAGAATATTCATAGTGATAGCCCAAAATCAGAACCAGATCTTAGTTATGTTAGCAGTGGTTTATCAAATATTAGCGAATCAAGCAACCAAGATCCTCCGTTCGTTGTGATATTCCATTGTGAATTTTCTTCTCAACGAGCTCCAGCATTGTAAGTTAGATAACGATATTTTACAAATGATTGACTTTTGGTTGCACTACATACCTTGGAAACCCAAACATCCTTACGATTTAAATTAAAAGTACTAAATTTTCTGTAGTTGGGACTTGTCAGTGTCTCGCGAATTCTGTTGCGAGTCCTACGTTTTATGTACAACGCATTTCTATGTTACAATAGACAGCTGCTAAATTCTCACTGGAAAATTTTTCTCGAGTTAATTATTTCAATGATTTTCCCAGTAACATCTTACTTACTTACGCCTGTTACTCCTCGTGAAGGAGCATAGGCCGCTTACCAGCATTCTCCATCCAACCCTGTCCTGGGCAATCCTTTCTAGCTCCGTCCAGTTGTAATTCATCGTTTTCATATCTGCTTCTATTATCCGACGCAATGTGTTCTTTGGCCTTCCTCTTTTTCGCTTCCCTTCAGGATTCCAAGTTAGGGCTTGCCTCGTGATGCAGTTCGACGATTTGCGTAATGTATGTCCTATCCATTTCCATCGTCTTTTCCTAATTTCTTCTTCAGCTGGAAGTTGGTTTGTTCTCTCCCACAGAAGGCTATTGCTGATGGTATCCGGCCAATGGATGTTGAGTATCTTGCGTAGACAGCTATTTATAAATACTTGTACTTTCTTGATTGTGGTTGTTGTAGTTCTCCAAGTTTCAGCTCCATACAGTAGAACTGCCTTGACGTTCGTATTGAAGATTCTCACTTTGATATTGGTTGAAAGTTGTTTTGAGTTCCATATGTTCTTCAATTGTAGGAATGCGGCCCTTGCTTTGCCAATCCTCGCCTTTACGTCTGCATCTGAACCTCCTTGTTCATCGATGAAGTAGCATCACGGTAGTTAATTACAATGTTCTTTAATAACCCTACGTTAAGGGTAGCACTAATCTGACACTTGTTAGTTCTACAAATACACAAAACAACTTAGAATCACTCTGTGTCTACACCACTCAAGATTCCTGAACGATTCAGGTGATTTTAAATACTGTGAGTTTTTGTATCAACTTACGAACAAGTACCTGCTTGTTTGGATTTTAATATACGACATTGGCAGAAATGCAAAAGCTCTCATAAATCAACTTAGAATACTATCCTTGAGAACTTCAAGGAAGTTACTTCAATTAACTCGGTAGAGAATCTCTAGGCTTTGTTACTTTTACTGCCTCTACCACTATGGGATTTGAATCGAAAATTGTGTCTCTGTGCTAATATGGTATGGCAACTCGAACTGATGTACGTACGTACGAAGTTCTACATTGTTGCTAACTGACTGACTCTTAAGAAACGGGAATCATGCATACAATACAACATGCGTGTTGAACTTCTCATTCACGCGTATTTCCTTTAAGGTTAAGATTACGACTAAAATTTCAGACAATGCACGATGGTATTCACGATATTGTAGGTCATTAAAAGTCCCTTCTATATCTCCCATATTCTAAGGAGTATAAACCTAACACCTGGCGCACCTTTGAGCATTTAAATTTCAAACCCTGGATTGATTTTGTGAGTCATCTGCGGGATACACTCTGAGGTATTAATTTCTTGTTGGATGGAAGAGCTAGATTAATTAATGTGTAAAATCCAGTTTCTCAGCGTAGTTTAATTACATGAAGTAACCTCATATAAAATTATGTGAAGATTTTTATATCCAGTTTCTCTTCTGATAATAATTGGATTTTCATCCTTCCTCATTAAAGGGCTGCATTTCTTCGGAGCGTCGATCGTGTTTCGAATTACCATCGTTATCCATTTCTTTATTTTCCGGAAATTTATATAATGAAAGGTGGATATTCTGCATTTTACCGAAAATTCCCAGTAAGTTGACTGCCGTTATTGGTGTTTCTTTCCGTATAAAACAATCGTTCGAGATAACAAAACCATCTTTATTATTTTTTACTTAGCATTTATGTACTCCGCAAGAATACGTTAAAATGTTCCACCGGGATTACCGGAATCACTTACGTTTGTATAAACGTCTTACTCGTCGTGTCAGTTCAGCCTGTATGGCATGTATAAAACCTCAACAAAATGAAGTTGATAAATCCCAAATACCAGTTTCCGAGGTTGATAGTTATTGTCAACTTCCGTTGAATCTAAAGGTTGGTGTACATAACATGTTTACAACACATGAACCACCAACATACCAATTTCGATCCGATCGTGAACTGCCTATGCATGAGGATAATTCCATCTCTGGTCTTGTCAATTATGAAAACAAAGAAAACTGCTCACCTTCCGGTAGGTATTTTTGTTATAGATGTGATTGTCATTATTGTGCTGTATTGTGTGAGGTGGTATAGGTTACTGTCATCTCTTATGAAGCATCCTCAAGACTTAGTTTCTCAAACACCTTTACTTATCTGTCTATAAAACTGCTCTGAATTGATTTCAGACCATGATTCTATAGATAGGAACGGACTGCTTAAGTTGACTAAGTTGCTCAGATTTTCAAATTCTACCTTGACTGTTTGGCTAATCTTCTGTAAAGGAATGAATATAACTGACTAGTTCAGATGATGTAAGGTTATACTCTGCTGTCAAGCTTACTCTAAACACTAACTAGATGTAGTAGGAAGCGAATTCGTTATAAGTATCGCGTTACTATAGCATTGTAGTTAAGGAATTATTTGCATCCTTATATCTAAGTCGACTCTACAAATTTATCAAATATTCCACGCATAAGTGGTATTTAGATCTACAAACTAAGTGCACTTCTCAACTTTCTATAAGCCCTAACTGTGTTATGTAAGCGAAACAGATTGCTTATTACTAATTTTGATTATTAATCTCACAATTTCATTCGACGTCTAAACTTGTTCAACTTAACCGAATGATTGTCATTTCCAACATAACCAATTTGATTTCATTTTACAAACAATCCTTAAACTTAAACGATATGTTTACCTTGAAACTGAGCTTTTTCTGGATTGTCAATTTGGATATGTAACTGGAAAACCTAAATTAACAGTTAAACAATAGTAGCTATAGTTTCCTCTTGATTCCCTATTGTTTTCAACCACATCAACCAGTGTTAAAAAGATTAAAGCCTTCAACTAAAAGTGGCAGAAGATGAGAAATTATCTATAGTTTCAATTGAGCTAATCAATGTCTGAAGATTTGTTTTTCACTTGTTAGTTGATAACGAATGATCAACTTAAATGTTCATTGACTACTTGTTAAGTCAGTCGAATGCTGCAAAAATAAAGCTATAAGTATCAAATAAGAGTTCATTTTATGTCTGACTAAAATTATGTTTAAGGTGGCCAGCAGAAAACAATCGGTTCTAGAAACTATTATTTGAAATATTTTGTATGATCAGCTCAAATATCTTCCAAATGCTGCACTACTATGTAGTCCTCAACCAAAATCTGTATATAGTATGCTCGGAAGGATAGGGACACACGTCGTTGCCTTTTTGTCGTTTCTGCATACGCTCCCACTGACTGCAGCTCAGATGATGTGAAAGATGAATTTTACAGAAAGCTGTCCGAACTTCTTCAGAAAGCTAAACGCTCAGACATAGTACTCGTAGCAGGTGATTTTAATGCTCAGATAGGCAGTTTAAACCAAACAGAAAGGCATTTAGGTGGATATTTTAGTATTCCGACACAGCGAACAGACAATGGTGAGCGTCTGCTGCAGCTATGTTCAGACAATCGTTTATTTTTAGCAAACAAATTTTAAGCATAAGGAGAGACATCGTCTAACATGGCGACCCCCTACACCAAACCAACGATGGACTCAAATAGACCATATTGCCATCAGTCATCGTTGAAGAGGGTCGGTAGAAGATCGTCGCTCATTCTGGAGTACCTGCTTGGACTCCGACCATGCCCTAATACGGGCACGCATCTGCTTGCGCCTCACTGGACGCAAAAAAGCCACATTAAAAAGACCCGTTAGAACTGATTTGAGTAACGAGAAAACCAAAAGTAGGTTCCAGGAACAACTGAGGTCACACTTAGGTAGTTGTGAAGACGAGGCTGACCCAGATGTTGCTTGGAAGGGCATACAATCAGCTGTGGAAACAGCAGTGACATCTATTAGTGACTTAAACCACAGAGTTGCAAGGAACCAGTGGATTTCTTCAAGGTCTGTCACACTGATGGATTCTCGCAAACTCGTCCCATCAGGTCCTGAACATGATGAAGAGCGAAAACAAATCAGATCTAGGTTAAGAAAAAGTCTAAAGAACGACCGTGAGCAGTGGTGGGTAACGAAAGCAAAAGAGATGGAAAAGGCGGCGACTATAGGGAACACAAGACAGCTTTACAGACTAATAAAAGAAACTGGAATTAGTAAGTCAAGTGTAAGTGAGATTATTTCGGAAAAAGATGATACTCTCATCTGCTCCCAGTCCAGACGTTTAGAACGATGGGCGGAACATTTTAGAGAACAGTTCAGCTGGCCTTCAGCTACTCTACAACTACCCTCCATTCCCAGACAGTGTGAATGGAACATTGAAATAGGTCCCCCTACTCTTGCTGAAGTTCAAAAGGCTATAGTTAATCTGAAACGAGGAAGGGCAGCTGGTCCAGATGGGTTGGTTCCAGAGGTCTTTAAGGATGGTGGTCCAATTTCAGCGATTAGGTTGACTAATATTTTAGCTAAGATCTGGGAATTAGACTTTATCCCATCTGACTGGTCGCAATCACTTATCGTCCCAATATATAAGAGAGGGTCAAAATCATCCTGTGACAACCACAGAGGGATTAGTTTAACAAACATAGTTTCTAAAATACTGGCCTCGATAATTATCAAACGCCTAACTAAGACTCGTGAACTACAAACTCGAGAGAACCAAGCTGGCTTTAGACCTGGTCGTGGCTGCATCGACCACATATTCACCATTCGTCAGGTTCTAGAACACAGGCATACCTATCGGCGTCCGACGATGGTGGTATTTCTCGACTTAAAAGCAGCATTTGACTCGGTAGACCGCGAGACTCTGTGGCAGTGTCTGTCATTGAAAGGCGTACCTCAGAAGTACATAAACCTTGTGAAGGCTCTTTACTCGAACACTACTAGTCGAGTCAGGGCTTATGACGAACTGTCATCTACTTTTGCAACCTCAAGTGGTGTCCGTCAAGGCTGTCCACTTTCTCCATTTTTGTTTAACTTCATCATAGACCTATTGATGGAAATAACACTCTCGTCGACTGAATTCTCGGGTATTGATCTCCTTCCAGGAGGTCCACTTATCGACTTAGAATACGCAGATGACATAGTCCTGTTTGGTGAAGACGCTGAGAAAATGCAGAGTCTTCTGGTAGCACTAAGCAACAATGCCAGAAAGTTTGGGATGCGCTTCTCTCCCTCTAAATGCAAGTTGTTGCTTCAGGACTGGTCTGGGTCAACACCTGAACTAAGGATAGGGAGTGAAGTAGTCGAACGCGTTGATAACTTCACTTATCTTGGAAGTCTGATCAGCCCTAATGGGTTGGTATCGGACGAAATCTCAGCGCGGATTCGAAAAGCTCGCTTGGCTTTTGCCAACTTGCGTCACCTTTGGCGAAGGCGAGATATCCGTCTATCAATAAAAGGACGAGTATACTGCGCGGCAGTTCGTTCTGTTTTAATTTACGGCAGCGAAACATGGCCCTTAAGAGTAGAAGACACCCGTAAGCTACTAGTATTTGACCACAGATGCCTTAGAAATATTGCTGGCATCTGCTGGGATCACCGGGTAAGTAATAGTGAGGTTAGACGCAGGGTATTAGGGAATGATGGTAAATCAGTTGATGAGGTTATGAATCTTCATCGACTGAGATGGTTGGGCCACGTATTACGTATGCCTGAACACCGATTACCACGACGTGCAATGCTAACCGGGGTAGAGGATGGTTGGAAGAAAGTTAGGGGCGGCCAAACCAAAACGTGGCATCAGTGCCTGAAGTCACTAACTTCTAGTCTGAGCCATGTTGGTAGATGCAGACTACTTGGTTGGGGTCCGCGTGACTTTCGTAACCAATGGTTGGATACTCTTGGTGACATGGCTCAGAATCGATCACAATGGCGTCGGTGTATACACTCCCTGTCTTCCCTTAAACTAAGAGACTAAAATCACTTCATTCTTTCTGTCTACGAACTAATTCTTTCTTCCTATACTATATCCTTATTGCAAACTTTGACCTAACCACTCCTATGAATCCGGTGTTCATCTTGCTGTGCTAATGAGGTATGGCAACCTGGACCGATGCACATATGTGCCTGGTCCTACGTTGTAGCTGACTGACTGACTGATATAGTATGCTAGTCCAGTGATGTTGAAAAGCATATGGATTGTGATGCACGGTTCAGTTAATCAATTGTTTTAAGCGTCTTAAATCTTCGGTTAGGATAAACATGCTTCCAGATGAACCCTCAAAAGTAAATGCGGCTTCAGTTCAAGCGCATATATTTGTATTCGGATCCTTAAATCCTGAACAAAAACATTTCAACTGTCACACAAAAAATCCCTGTTGATAGTCGTGGAATATTTATTTGAACCTTGGACTTAGCTAAAGCCGAAAAGTTCAGACGACCATATGAAATTAGCTGTTAATTGCAACCTATCTCATTGATATTTTTGAAATATCCTGACCGTAGCTGCTACCTTGACGCGGTGGTCAGGCTTGCCGACCGTGATGACCCAATCGAGCTATATTGGCTGGAACACTTGAGGTTCCTTCAGGTCCTATCTTGCCAGGCAGATCGGTTGGAGAACGGTAATACCAAAAGCAGCAAACTCACGTTACGAGTACAAATTTATATTGTTGGTTGCTTTCGGGTGTGGTGGTATAAAGTGCTCGCTACTTGTCATTACCAAATGATCCTGTGATCCACAACAAGTAACTGAAAGTGTCGAATCTAAAAATACCATGTCTCACTTTCAATGTTCAAAATGTAGTATCTAAAACAACTCACATAATTGTTGTTGCTTAAGCTCTGTGTTCACTTTCTATGTTCGACAAAACCTTTATTACTAATTCGACTATCTTTTCGAGTTATTTAAAAGAGTAGTAATAACTGCTCACGTATGAATAATAGAGCATTTAAGCTCATATTCTTAACAATATTCCCAAAACTATCTGTTTTTTTAGGGTAAACTGTTACTTCTTTAATTTAATCTGTTTTGTGTGTTAACTTGGTGAAATACCGGTTAACTTACCGCATTTGAAATCGTCTTTTATTTTCTGTCTTCAAAATAAATGTGGTAACTGAGTTTGAATTCCTTTCTTTGATTCCCTCTGAGTGTTCATTTTGTATAAATAGCTTATGAACCCAACTTACTATAAAAACGTATTTCTATTCAGAATAAATTTTTTATAGTAGCTGTTTTTATGTTATCAGGTTCTGAACTGTGTAGCAAATTTCAAAGTCACCACTCCTGTTCTGCTGATAATGTGAATGAAGAACCCAAACATGCTATGCTTTCTCCTAATGTTGAAGGTTGTAACCAAGCGTCATCAAGTGTGGTCGACAGTCCTCTTGGTTTGGCAGAAGTTGTTGTAAGAGTCGGTCGTCGTGTGATAGCAGCAACATTGGGTAGTACCAATAATAACTGTTCTGAGGTTGCTCGTGCTTTAGACCGAATAAAGTATCACAATTCACCTCAAATTATTCAACCACTTGAAGGGAAACCACCTGTACGTTGTCTTAAGCGTTCACTTACCACTAATTCATTGGATATTCGTCATCAGTTAATTCGCCCAAAAGTTTTTAATCCATTTTGTGGTGGCAATAGTTATTCACAAAATACACCTTCAATAAGAAGAGTTCGAACAAATTCTAACACTGATTTATTGTCCGTTGATAATACCGTGAATAGTATTCTGGCACCAACAACGTCCACTACTTCAAATCAAATCCACCAAGTTCAATCCTCTCCACAAAAAGAACACTTGTCATACCATAGTCTTTCTACATGTAGTGAATAAGTGTATAACACACTTGTTTTTATTTTAACGAACTTATGTAGTTATAATCATCCTTATTTACAAATCAATCCGTATTCATTCTGTATATAGATGTATAGTTTGTATGTACATACATGTATATTCTGTTAATTTTTGTCGAACCATAAAATTACGTTTCAGAACAATATCCTCTTAACTATCCATTCATTTACAACCTGATATTCACAATTCTCTCTTACATTTTGTTATGTATAGCTTTTGTTCTATTCGGTTTAAATAGTTCTAGTTAGTTTCACTAGGTTGCAGCACTTTGATAATGGTTTTTACAAAAAGCTATTATCTCTGCTGTTGAAATCTAGTGATCATTTGTGCTTTGTGACATTATTACCGTCTGAGGTCCTCTCGGTTATTGTTTTTCCCTCGCCATTCGTTTCAGCTTATGTTCTCCCGACATTTCGCGTTATTGATTCTTGGATTTCACTGACGTGTTATTTATTTTGCTTTGTGTTTTTGTTATGTCTCTTCTTTCTGCAATCACGTTTATGTTAATATGTTTTTGAAAAATGTTAAAACTTGAGCTGGTTCGTTTTATCACCGAACCCATCTTTTCAGGCAGTCGATAAAAGTATGGTTTTGGTAATGAAATTTTGCGAAGATCAATTAGTACAAATATAAACATGAACTTGATTAATTTCACTATGAATGTGTCACTGTAATTCATAAAATTTGTTTGACAAGTTTAAAATACAAGTGCTATCAACTATAAAGTTAGTTAATTGCAACATAGAACCTGTACGTATGTACATCGGTTCAAGTTGCCATACCCCATTAGCACAGAGATGTAGTTGTCAGGCCAAATCCCTCAATAGTATAGATAGTAACAATATCAGTTGTAATATGAAAGATTCGGCACTGGAGATACGATTCGAGGGGAAAAATATATTACTGTAATAATAACAAGTTATGAGGAATTTAAAATCTCAACTTGGGTGAAGACGAAGAACGGGTGCATCTGCATTATTGCAAACGACTTTGAACCATGTCATTCAAGGTCTAAATACTAGTTACGTTAATTATGTGGACCCTAAATAGATAGTCTAAACATATTAACTTGGCGAAATCCAATTGTTAATGACTTCGTGGACTAGAGCCATGTCTATCCGCCCCTAGTCTTCCAGAGTAATCCTAAACAGTATCGCTTGTCGCGGTAGGCATGTCCCAACCATCTCAGTTGATGAAGTTTATTTAACTCGGCATCGGATTTGCCATCTTTACGTAGTAGTCTATTCCTAATACAGGTATTGCTTACGCCGTGGTACCAAACTACACGAGTAATGCTTTGTGGGCACTTATGATCCAATGTTATTAACCTGCAACTATCACCTATTTTTAATGGCAATGTTTCACATCCATGCAGTAGAAGCTCGTCCTTCGGTTAGGAGACTTATGTTTGCCTACCCCACAAGTTGGGAAGTTACAAAGTACACTTTCAAAGTGTCTAGTTGTTTCATGAATTTGTAGAAATTAAAATATTGGATTTGTTTAGAATTCTGAAATACACAGCAGTTGTTCAAGAAACAATTAGTTCAGATTGTTACCCTATTTTTATTATATTACTGAATAACTAAAATAAACGTTTCACAACGTTGGTTACAGGCTACATTTATGATTGTACAGATGATGACATTTAGTAGATCTCCAGGACACATTTTCCCTCTAACTCTGTTTCTGCAAAGTAAACTGATCAATCCAACTCGAAATGTAAACGAAAGAAAAATACTAACCCCTTTATTTAATCCACCATATATATATATGTAGTACATTTGATTCAGACCCATATGAATATGATTTAAGACTGTATGGTTTAATATTTTGCTTATTCATTCTCAAATCTGCATAATTTTCTACAAGTGGTTATTTTTGGATTTGCATAATAACATGTAAACGCATAGATTGAATGTTCATTTCCCTAATTGAATAGTGGTAATTAATTTTATGAAATATAGCTGATTACATTTTTTATATTATTCACCTACAATTTATTCATATTTTCATTTTCAGAATTTCTTTGTATGTTAATTTATTAGTCAGTATGATGAGATAGGGAGTAGTTTGTATTTAAATAACTAAATTAAGTGATTATTTGTGATTCATTAGTATGCGAGTTTACGTAATATTGTTTTATTGTAGTGCATCAATCCCTAATGCCTCTTCTCTCAAAGTGTACCACAATATTTCGTGTTAAAATTTGATCAGAACGAAGTGAAAATAGATTTCATGATAAAAATGTAAAAAGAATTTATTACGATTATAGATTTATTTTAGGCCTCTGTAACATGTAAATATTATTTGTTAAATAATGGCCAAGCCGCTATTTCCGTTAACTGTGTCATTCATGTTTATGCCGACGACATTATTGGTGGTATACTAGCAATGTATTTATTATCACTTAACTAGTTGTAAAAGAAGAATAAGTTTATATCAGTCAGTAAAGTGGTGGATCACTGCTTAAGATGTTGGACTATATGCCAATAGGTCCTAATTTTGAGTGGATTTTAATATACGACAATCAGTATATCATGTCAATAATGATAGTTTTCGAAATTTTATAAACAGACGACTGTTAATTGGGTCAATTAAAAATCAAACAATTGTTTTTATGCAAAAAACTACCTAATCCAATAGCATGGTCGAGTTATACCCTTTTTTAATTTGCTATGAGCATGCTAAGGTTGGTTTTTAAGTTTCCTACTTGAATGTTTAAGAATAATTCGATTTTGATACCAAGATTTTTACAGAATTGAATGAATTCTCTACTAATTATGCTTATTCGTGTTGTAATTAATACACTGATATTGTTATTTTTGACCAGGGAGCATTATTTGAATACATAATGCCTTTCGGATTTTCTTTGTTTATATCGTACACATAGTTCCCTTTGTCATTTTGAAAACAGCAAGAACAACTATTCTAGCAGAATAGCGTGAATTCATTTTATTTCGTTGGTTCTCGTCAGCTGCTTACAACCTGTGATATTAAAAATCGTAATTACATAATTGGTTTAAATTACATGGAAGGGTTTGGTTGGGAGTTATATTGATAACACATTAATATAGTATAGTAAGGATGTAAATAAATTGTAAATATATACCTTATGTCAAAGAACGTTGATTGTGACAACAGTTCAAACGACCAAGAACAAGTGATTACATAATGAGTAAACGTTGGTAGGAATAAAATGAGTAGAGCTCAGTTGGTAAAATCAGATTACTAATCTGGAAGATAGTTAAAATAAAAATGATGTAATAAATGCAAGAAAGAGCTTAAAGAAAAAGAAAGAAATATTAAGATGAAGCGAAGGAATATTTGTTTGCCTTAGCTGTATGATCGGCTACAACGGTCTCGTGCCGATTACAGTCATCTCCATTATTCGAACTGATCAACTCGCTTATGAACTACTGTTAAGCATAAGCAGCCATCTAGTTTGTTACTTCACATCAGTATAGCGAAAGATTGTTAATTTCTCGAAAATATTTTCATATTATTTTATATTGTATTTGGTATTTTTTCGCAATTTGCGTATGAAAATAAGATATCTAAGTACTACAAACTGCATACGTCTAATTTGAAGCGTTATGGGTATTGTAATGACTCAGCAACTGACAATTATCTTGTTCTAGTAAACGAATTCTTTGTTAGTAAGTTTTATATCTGCGATGTATTAGTTACTTTATTTTTATGAATGCTAATATTATCAGACCAGTTTATTGTATATCGAAATTATTTTGACCTGGGGACGTGAATTTCTTTGTATTTTCATAAGCTTAACCCGTTTTTTTAGGGATGAAAAGAACAGCTGTATTGGTTATACGCCTGCCGTATGCTCCCATGTGATTTTTCTCTTCACAAAATATGTCCACCCTCATATAGCATGTTTGCTTTTTTCAATTTGTACATGCACGTGTTTGTTGGATTTGTGTATACAGTATGTGGGTAAGATGGGCTGTTTGTTTTCATGATCAAATAAGGCAGAAATTATTGGAATTGACCTGAAAACTTTTTAATCTCTACTTTCGATAGTCGCATGTTTTTCATTGGTGGAAAATTTTTTACTATGTGTATACTATCAGAAATCACCACCGTCCTGTGTTGATCTTCAAATCTGAAATTATTTTTTCTGTCGAAGGATGAGTCATTCATGTTAATATCTCCGTTTCTGTATTTGTGTGTTTGTCTCACTAGTAGTACTACTAGTCGGTAAGGTCAGATTAAGCATTTTCTGTCTATAAAGGACTGGCTTTTGTTTGCTCTTCAGGACACAATAAGAAAAACACAAAGATTTCATGATCGCACAAAGATTTTTTACTGGAAATTTGTCTTTTTAAATAATGCCTTATGTGTTATTCTAATAAAAAATTTCTGTGACCGATTACTCATCATCATCATTAATAATAATAGATTGTGTACTGTTATGTAACCCTAGACGGATTAGCAAGGACATAGTAAACTTAATTCTACTATAATTCATAACCTTTAAATTCAATGTTATTTAGCAGAATACTTTTATCATACTTGAAGAACATTTACGACTACCGTTTATGCTTATATTTGCTTTCATTTTGTTTTGTCACTGTTGGACCATGTCTAACGCTATAAAGATGATCGTTTATCTGTCTAGTTGCTATTAGCACCACTTGACCTTGTAACACCTTCACGTAAAAAATAGGTTCAATGTATTTGAAAAAGTCATCTTATTTTGGGTTATGTGAGTGAACATAAATCCCATCCTCGTTCACAATTTCGACCCTGCACATGAAGACCAACTAAAATGAAGCGGAATTATCATTTACACAACCGTAATCCACTATAAAGGGTGTGTTCCGTTATCTGTTGTTTTTGTTAGATTATATGTAAAATATTTTCTACAACCAAAATACCACTCCATCATCCTACTGTGGCGTCAAATGTAGCGCAATCAGTCATTATGGAAAAAAATTACAACAGCAAAAGATATACCTACA